ATATTCTACTCAAACAATATATACGAATATAATATTTTTCCCAATCATTTATTTTTTTGCTTTAATTTTTTTTTCTGATTTTTATTTATTACCATCTATCAGCAATATTTCTTTCTTTCGATTGTGGTAAATATTTTATCGAAATAATTATCCAATTTTTCACTATTAAAGCATTTATTTAACTGACATAAACATCAGACAATTTTATTTTCAGAGTGATATGTACCCAACACAGTTACATTTGCATGAAATATTGGTATATATATTTTTATAACGCATGATGTTATTGAAAAAACCTTTGGAATTTTTCTATTTTATTAAATTCTATTTCAAAGTTTATCAGCGTTATCACAGATTTCAATTCACGTCACTAACATAGGTCGAATGCCAGCTGAATCGAAGGGAACAAAAGCGATTCAATATTGAGTACATAAAACATACATACATACAGGTTATTGGAATGTTGTACGTGTGAACAAATACACATCAATATCTATGTGCGTATTACCTTTCCAGTATGAAGGAAACGAACAATGCTCCATAAGGTCAATAAATAGCTGCGTGATGGAATGAAAATTAAAAAGAACCCAACATTGCACACTTTTTAGATACAATAGGTGACATTTGTCGTCATGTCTCAATATTATTCAGAACAATAAAAAAATTTTAATAAAAGACTTCATGTTGGGAATAACTGGATCAATAAAAGATTGAACATCTTGTTGATTAAAATGTAAAAAAAATTCTAAAGTGCATCCTGTACAAGAGAATGTGTTTTAAGAAGTTTTTCGGTATTCGAGTAGTTCGGCTCACCATCCGTTAAATGTCTAACTTTTTTTCTTATTTCTTTTTTTATTGTTTTTCACTTTTTGCAAGCATTTAAGGGATACGACTTATCTACACTTTTTTCTATAAATAACTTGTTAAGAAGTGTAATTTAAACTATTCATCAACCTCTTATTCTTAACAACATAATTACCCAACATCTTTACTTCTTATAACTATTGTATATATCTCGTTTTTTAATTCAATTATTAATATAATTGTTCGAGTAATTGATCTAGAAAAATTAAATTCTATAGATTCTCATGTTTTGTGTGATAATTAAAAAGGCCCCTAGAAATTAATTAAATATCACATTATTAATTGGAATAATTGCACTCAATATTCATTGAATATTTTTGAATTGGTATTGAATTGAATTATATAGGATAGGAATGAATGGAATATTATTAAAAATATGAGCCTTATTAGTTATGAGACACAATGACATTGACAACCCGATCGAAGATTGTTGAGAAAACTTCTTACTCCAGCTGCTCCAGTGCAATTGCCTAGATCTTGATATTTTGCCCAACTAAAGAGGAACATACTCCATTGAACCGGAACGAACGTAACGAGCCGAAGAGATTTCCTCAGCTCACTCTTGTACTCGGATGGTTCGAGTGGAAAACGAGGTCAGCTTTTGCCCGAAAAAAATTTTTCACTTTTTTTGTGCATTATTTTTACATCCTTGTTGTGAAATTTTCATTTTTATGCTATTATCTGTTACTACAGAAGCTCCGAAAGTAATAGGAATAACGAGGGAAAAATTTGTAATAATACAATAGTTTCACATTTATTAAAATACTTTAATATTAAAAAATTAAAATATTTATTCAGTGAAATGTATCTCATGAAAATGTTGGTGTATATAATAATAATGAAATGAGAAAAAGGATTTGTGTAGTGACATGAGTTAACACATGACATGTTGTTACAATTAATAATGTCTTTTGGGACATCTCAGGTTTGTTACACTCGCTCTAAATTTCCATTTGACACATTACAAATTGATCGCACCACCAGTAGTGTACACATGAGGAAATAAATTTACGTGGTAGAGTTACCATTTTCTTGAATAAAACATGTTGTGGTTATTTATTAAATACAAGTTTCAATTCTTATGCTTCGAGAGTTCTTGTACAATCATTAATTTATCAATACCCTTTTTCACAATAATATTTTTAATCCCACATGTGTTACTTTAGATTTCATTTATCTGGTAGCTAAATTTATCCCTCATTGTTTTAAATCACTACTAATAAATTAAAAACCTACTTTCAGCAAACAAAAACATTATTGATGATTATTATGGAATTATTTTAATAAATTGAATTACTAGAACATCATATATAGCAGTTGGTATTGTTTGTTGATTGAACAAAACCGCAAAAGAATTGTTTCATTGAAAAGAATATTGTACTCACAAATGATTAAATTGGAAGCAGAAAGCTTTCGTCTGTATGCCCCAATAAAGAAATAAAAATGGAATTATATGTATAGTATAGATATATATATATATATACGAATTCGCAATATCATCTTATGTATAGTGTTCGCAATGCATAAAAAAGTGCATAAGCCATGCAAAATTCTAGAACGAATATTCTTGAATCTTTTTTACAATAAAATCAAAAGCATTGTTCTACCAACACTTTTGATTTGAAAGAAGAGAATACAGTAACGGTAGGAAGAATATTCCATTCTCTGACTCGCAGATAATTAAATATATAAGTAGTAAAATTAAAATTCGTAGAGACAATAATAACAAGGTTTATGCATAAGATACTTTTTACCTAGTTCTTTGTTATTTTCTTCATGTATTTTTAAAAGCTCTATTTTTAGCTGTATTTCTTTAATCATCACAAAGGTCTGTAGATTCCTTTGTACATAAATATACGACCACCAAGATGTTCTATTTTCGTACATGCATACTCGTAGTAGATATATATGTAAATAGAAGCGATCGTAAGCTTACTGAGGTCTCAATAGATGAAGCCACAGGGGGATAGTTACAGTCACGAACGATTGAAATGCAGATCTGAGATGTAGATTGATGACCATGCTAGATCAATACTGACTGCATCTCAACAAGTTTGTAGCTTTCTACATTTTCCACTGACAGGTCATATTTCTTCAAAGATATTCATGCCACTTTAGCTTTAATAGAATACTCGTTTACGAAGGCGTTGCTTTTCCTACAAAACTTTCAATTGGACTATTGAAATAGTGCAATTACTTGGTAACTGATTGAAATAAGTCATTTAAATAATTATCCATCATCGCATTAAATCTGTTAACAATTTCTGTTAAATGTTCAATTACCATGGTTAGTATCTTTACAATTAGAAAGGGTGAGGTTGTGGCTGATAACCAGATTTTCGTGGGTTCGTCTACTATTTGCATTGCTGAGTAGGCAAGTTTGCTACAGCTTTGCTGGCGTGCTGGTTTGGACGTACTGGGTTGGAGAAGGTGTAAAAGCAAGTGGTACCCAATTAGCGGCTGCGCTACCGGCTACCCCTAATTCACTGACTCGACCTGCATGATCTCTTCTACCTACATCTTCATCCTCTACCATGTTCACAAACGTTCCCTACAACTTGGTTCCAACTACTGCCACCAACAATCGTGCGTTTGCAATCCTATTCTTAACTTCTAATAACTACATTTCTAATTATCTTACTGACATTTATTTATGTAATAATCAGATTTTTGATAAATCATGGTTTTAATTGTGTTTAATTCTCAACACATAATATGATTATAGAATATGTATGAGAAAATGTTTCATTTATTCTGTGTCGTTGTTTTTGGTTTTAATATTGAAAATAATATGTTTTCATCAGAATTACGTAGCTTCTATATAGCTGTTTAATTATAACACAATTTAAATGTCAAGTTGCTCTAGGTTGCTCATAGACATGCACTGACTTTTCTTCTCTTTTTTAACTTAAGAGAAAAATTCAGTTACATTGAAAATTCTCGTCTCTTCCATGCTACACAAAATAGCATCTTGTCTTTCCAATTTATTTTTCCTTATTCTTGTCATACTCAACGTGTATCCATTTAACTTTTATGGAATATGTAATTATATACAGGAACTAGAATTTCAATGCACAAAATAATTTATATTATATGTATTATTGCTTTTATTTTAGTAGTTAATTTTTAATTTAAAACCGCTTGGGGCGATAAAGAGTTTAATAAGTAATATTGATGCATGTTATTAAAAGACAATATTGTATTTAAAAACGAATTGAAAATTTTTCAATTTAACTGAATTTTAGAAATTTCATAGAAAAATCTGAACATGAGTGAAATGAATTTCGTTTCAAGGTATGATCAACGGGAACGATAAATAAAGTCATGATTTTCTCTGGGTATGGTTGGAGGTGATCAAAAGTTTACTCAACAGTTATAGAGGCCATTAAACTTACGACCATTACATCCATTTTAAAGAATTCTTTCAAGAGGAATTCATGACATAATAAGATAAATTACGACTTCAAGATTTTTGATGGTAGTGATAATGTTGCTGAATATTCTTAATCGTAAATTTTTTATATCATGAAACCGATAAAAAATGTAGGCACAAAAGTTTTTAAGGGTTAGCCATTAGCCATCAAATTTTCAGGATTTGTGGTTTACTGGAGGGTTAATGATTAATGTAGGTTGGGATTAATAGAAAAAGTGTCGCAAAAAATAGAATATAAATAAATGAAAGACACGACCTATCTACAAAAACAATCGTGTCTGTTTCATGTATATATCCTCTTTATCGAAGTGAAAGAAAAAAAAACCAAGCACGTTCTAGGCAAAGAGATTTCCCTTGATAATAGAAAAAAGATGAGCTCGCGAAACGCCCGAGGACTACTACATCTTTTTCCTTAAGAAACTTTTTCCATACAGTCTAACTATACTGACAAGCCTAACTTTATGGTAAAGCATACGAATATTATTCCGGTATGATGAAATACAGAAGATAACTTGTGGTGTACCTCAAACAATATTTTCTTATAAAATTGACTTTTTGTAAATTAGTTTATTTATATAAAAATATTCAATTCTAAAAATATCTCTTGTTTAATTGTTTGCTTATATTTATTTTATTCTTTAATGCTAACTAGGAAATGTATTTTATGTATATTTTTATCAATCTATGAATATTATGATTCTAGCTTGTTGGTGGTGAATTCGATATGGAGCTCAATTTCGTTATCCAGGACGCTCAGAACATCAGGCACATGTTGGAATTACTCGACCACTGTCCACCGAATCTTCAGGTATTTTTTGTTATAAGAATTTTTCTATAAAATTTAATAAAGGATCAGATATCCTCCGGGTAATGAAAAAAATCATACCGTTCAAATAAAAGAGATTCAAGTTGATATTAAAACTCTGTGTATCTACTCAAAATTTTTAATGAAATTTTTTCTCTAAGCTTTTTTGCTCATCATTTCATCATACAATTTCAGAGAAAAGATATCTTTTTTTTTTAATCACCAAACAACACTGGTTTACAAATTTTTTTATTAACAAACAAATTAATGTTAATATCATTATTTATTTAAATTAAATAACAATTATTGCTGCAATTTACATTATAAATTTTTCTGGGAAAAATATCATATCATAAATTTGCGAGGGTTTAAACTCAATAACAAAAGTTTTTCACATAAATTTTTATTAAAAAATAATTATGTTTTTAATATTAAAAAATTTTTAAATCCGTCTATCAACTGTTAAAACATTATTCTAATGTGTGCTAAGTCATTGGATTTAATTCAATGAATTAAATAATAGTTGTAAACAGTGATATTTGCATGTATAGACGTAGTATAATAAGGTACACATGCCGATGCAAAGATTTGTGATCATTATGGCACATACAGTAAAACGTGACATAACAGTAGAACACGAAAGAAAGTTTCATTTGGATTCTCTACACGTACATATATTTCCTGCGGAATAAAACGTGCCAGCACTCAACAGTCCGTGGCATGAGGCTGACCTATACGAAATTCAACTACTAGTCTGGTGGTGTTCTTTCACTCAGCGTGGCGTGACTTGTTCGTACTTTGAATGGAAAGTGCTAGAACGAGTTTTAAACCCGTCATCCGAAATGTAGTCCATCGTTAGATAACATATGAATTGATGTTTTTTTTTTTTTATCATCAATTGTATAAATACATGCGTGGACTATTCAGCAAGTAGTACAACTCATGCAGTGTACTGGCAAGACTTCTTTTTACTCTACTTGGAATTTACTACCCTTCATGTTCTCTACTACCACAGTCACTACGAACAAGTTCCGAAGGAAGCTGTACTACATCGTAATCCCGTTTTACGGTGCTAGTTTCAGTTCTTATAGAATAAGAGGGTTTCATTTAGTAACTACAAACCGATTTCCTATTCTTTTAGAGTTCTTTAGTATATTTCATCATAATGGTTTTACTCTTAAAAAAAAAAGTATTTTACGACATTAATTTTTTTTATTTTATGTTAAACTTAAATAATCTTCATCTCTTATTACGTTATGTTGAGGAAAAAAGTTTGAAATTTATTGCAGCTGCTTTGGGAATAATTTAAGTGCAACTACGTAGACCATACATGCAGATACTTGCGGTCATTTAAGTTTTTAAATCTCCATTACTTTGTGGTATTTTTTTTTCTACAGATATATTAGAGTGGAATTAGAGTAGAGAAAAAAATTCTTGAGAATATGATGTGAATGATGGGAAAAAATATATAAAGTTTGAATAACTTCAATTGATATAAAATTTATACATTCAACAATATAAAACTTTATTAATTAACGCCACATTTGAAAGAATTAAAGGAATGATCTCATTTTAAATTTGAAACAAAAAAAGAATATTAATTATAAATAAAAATAATTTGTATGAATGGAAAATGGATTTTTTTATACAAAATCAAAGAGTTAAATAGATTGAAGCTGAAAATAAATTTGAAGAAATCTTCTCATGTCTCTTTTATTTTTGTGGGTCTACAGTGAAATATCGCGCGAATCTGAAGACATAAAAAATTCAGAATCACTTAGTAAATCTTATAAAGAATTTTCGAAAAGATAAAAAAGAAAGTAATATAATTTAAGCGATAAAGGATATGAATTTTTCATGTTTAAAATACTACCGTTAAATGATCTGAGATTATTGAGTAATATTTTATGTGATAATCTCATTGAAGAAAAGTGGCTTCTGTTAAATAGCCTGAAATAGTAAAACATTTCAATTAGGAAAGCCATCATCGGGGTAAAGTTAGCCTGTCAGAAATTGACTTCTCTATCATTCACAGCTATCGTTGTAAGGGCAAATGCCACCTTAGGCAAACTGTAATCTACTAGAGATCAATTTCGTCCCGGTGACACCCTGAATTGATAATGTCGTTAAAGGAGTTTCCACGTTCCCGTGGGTCTCACTTCTATCTGAAGACCCAAGGACTAGATGAATTGCATAGATGGATAGTGAAGTTGATGCACTAAACATCAGCTGAATGTATAAATTTTCCATAAATAGAGTTCACTGTACGAGGCCAAATATGGCGTCAAATAGAACCGACTACTGATGCGCGTGTGGAAGATGACAAGTCTCTCGAGATGTTGAGCTCACTCAAGTACATGAGTGTGTATGACGAGTGATTTAATTATGGTGAAAATAGAGATTCCGGTTAGCCAACAGATAATTATTTCGGTCAATCGGAAGTTTATTGGAATTAACAAGCATTGGTGCTGTGATGCTGATGATGAATTTTCAACCACAGAATCTGATGTAAATGACGGCAATGTCAATTACTATTAACCACATATCAAAGTTGTTTACTTTTTTTTCTACTCGACTATGGTTGTTCTCTCCATTTTTTATTTCTATCAGTCTCTATAGATTTCACTCGATTCTCTCAAAATCAATAAAAATTCTCAGTCTCATTTTTTTGCTATACGTCAATTTTTAATGATTAGAAAAATAGAAAGTGTTTATTTTTTAATGAGTTTTCAATAGAAATGAAATACGATCGTAAAATTAATTGGGTTATTCATATTTTAGTGGAATTGATGGATAGTTCATTAAGTATTTATTTAAATGTTCACGGACATTATCACCAATGATTATCAATATTTGTGTTCTTTCAATATTTATCAAGTAAATAATTTGCCAATAAATATATTAAATATGTACTAACGTTTCAACATATCAAGCATTTTCATCATAAACTAAATTAATTTAAAATTGCCAAAAAATTAATATTTCAAGCAAAGAATAAATTCAGTACATAACTAAAACATTAAATTTTGATTAATACTTTTTTCATGCACTAATGGGTAATTTTTGATGTTTTTAAAAAAGAAAAAACCACCCACCAGCTAGATATGGTTCATTAGTGGGTTGATTTATTAAATTTTTGCTAAATTTTTTATGTCAAATCATAACATTGGAAATTTCTACATTCATTGTTGGTTAATAAGCGAGTATAATCATCATTCATGTATACAGCTTTTCAGAGTTAATATTGTTTATCATGCTACAGAAGATAGATGTATTATAATTAAATTATGGTCGATTGAAAAATTCAATCCATGAATTCGTATAAAAGATATTTAATAGAACACGATATGATTCAAGGCAAAAACTAAATATAGACGAACCAATAAATTCATTTATCATTGGCTGTCCGCTTGCCAGATGCTAGGAATAATTTAAATTTTTTTCTGTACTACTAACTACTTTCATTAATTATCAACAATTGTATCGTATTATTCCACACACTCATTTTCGTACGAGAATATTGCAATTAAAATTTCATTATTTCCATAAATAATTTATTTCCAATTTAAGTAAAAATTAATTGTGATGTTTTATTATTTAAAATGCATTACCATTTTTTTATATGAATAATAAACGATTACGACCCTAATAATATTGAAAAATATTTTTTTAATCAGAGTAATATGAATACGAAAGAGCAATAAAACATTGAATGAAATGTATTTATTAATTAAATTATTTTTACTGACAAAAACGAAGTTACAACATTGTGATTTATCGTTAACAAGCAAAGTGTTTGATTTTATTTAAAGATAATAATTTAGAGATATTTAATTTTGCTATAGGTAATTTTGATGAGCATATTAATTGAAAACAAAAATATGTTATTCAAGTCTGGAGGAACGAGATAAAAGCTAGATAATCAACTATTATAAGTAGCATAATCCTGAGTATATTACAGCAATTTCATGCGGAGCATCTAGGGATAATGCTTTCCAACCTCGTTCGTAATGACCATTACATCACACCTGATTGAGTCATTAGTAGGCATCGATAGTTGAATATTGAATGCATCTTATAAAAAGTATCGTTGATCTATTCCTTTGTAGTAAGCAACAAGTGATGATAACAAAAACTTGGAATTTATCGATTAGTTAACCATTTAAGAAGTCCAAGCAAGCTTTATGATAAGGCAAACGAGCACACAACATCGTAGGGCAGATGCAATGCCGTTACGCTACTGCGTGAGTTGAATATATTGATTTATCGCCACCCGCTTACCTACTGATGGAAGGGTGGTGGAAGGAGGGAAAGTATGGGAGGATAGTTCCACCCGATAAGCCCGTCTAGCTGCAATACTCTCTACTTCTCACCCTACCAACCCAGAAACGCTCAACACCCGATTGCACTTTACTCTCTCTCTCTCTCTTTTGCTCCCCTTCTTCCTCTCTATTCCCCCTTCTCATTCTCTCTCTTCTCTCTTGCTTGCTATCACCTTTCTCTTCGGCTCAACTCATTCGTTCTATCCGTAGGTCGAAGCTTCCCTGGCAAAGCTGAGAAGATTTATGAGAGCAACCAGAATTTCGTGAGCACTTGGAACGTGCCGAGTGAAATACTTCGCTCCCTTTGAATGAGTATGTCAATCTCCGAGATTTCGAAAGAATGTTCAATAGAAAGCGACTTGTCGCTAACAAGAGAAGATAGCGTCTCTATGAAACTTACTACATTTATAAAATTGATATTTCTATATTTTAGTGCTAGAAGGTTATGTTAAAAATTTAAATTTCTACCCGATGTCGTTTTTATTATTTCTATCATTTTATTATCGAGTGATATAGTGGATGATTACTTTTATCTCTATTCATATTATATTCTTATATAACTCCGTTTTTATATAAAAAATTTTTCTGTTCTTAATGCCTCTTTTGTACAGTGATGTTACGTCATAGGTACAGATAGTTTGCAAAAAAAACCAAATGTAAAAAGTGTTGGGATGACAGAAA